GATTGCTTTCCAAAAAATCCGCGAGCGGGGCGCGAGAGATCAGCAATCTATCTTTCCGGTGCCCGCCTGCCCCCGGCGATTGTCTGAAAAAAAAGCACAGGTAGTTTTTCAGTCGCAGTCATGCAAATACATAAGAATTCTAGGGCAATAGAAAATGTATTGCTGTATTGAAAAACACGTTCGAAACGACCTAATTTTACAAGACCCCACGTCATTTCGAAATGTAACAGTTAAAAATAGTGAAAGAAGCGATGTCTGGTATAAAATAAACCTGACTGCGAATTCTGTCGCTTGTATATGAGTAGTGACTATTATGAGTAGTGAGTAATATGAGTAGTGAGTAATAGTGTATGTAATAAGAGTAAGTTGTGAAAAACCAGAAAATCCAGAAATATTGAAGTGGACGGCCATCATGTGATGTTGTGTGAGAATGCACACATCGCCGCGGTGGTATGCCCGCTTATTCGAGGGATCAGCGATCCGTCGCGCGTTTTCGTCGCTAGTTTCCACCCCGTCGCGACGATCATCCAACGCGGCGATGGATCGCTGACCGGTATGACCGCCCCTTTACAATCTTCAGCCTAAAAAATTTTGCAGTAATGTATATACGAATGTCAGATGTGGAGTGTGTTTGCATGACCAAAATTGAGATTTGCAAAAGAGCTCTGGACGGTGATCCAATTTTTTTGGGTATTTGGTTATTTTCAGACTTTTTTGCTTTCAAACGCCGCGTAATTCGATTTCTACAATTGTTGGAACGCCATCTTGTAGAGCTTGCTTTTCTTTACCAAATGATTTTTTTCATTCAATTACCCTAATTTCACGCGTATAAGGCGCACTTTTTCGAATTTTCAAGCGAGCCGCTTAACCGTTTCACTGTATTCCTGAAAGGAATCCAGGGCTCGGCACATATGGTCTGGGGTCAAACTGGACTTCGTTTTTGAAGTTAGAAGCAACGGGGATATCGTTTTTATAAGGTCCTGGGGGATGCGCCGATGAAAAAAACGACGAACATGTCAGGTTTTACGAGTTGAACGTGTTCTTTCGCAAGCGCGCGAATTTCAAACGCAAGACTCGAACGAACAAATGGCGTTTACAGCTCAGAAATCACATGGCTCTGAATTCGGACTATGTGTATACAATACTACTCCAAACTATGTTATGTAAAATTCAAAAACTTATGTATCCTAATATCCGTTCCCGAATTTGTTGGTTTCTAAACCAACACCAAACCAACTGGGTTGGTTTGGAGCATAAATATCGGAGAGTTTACATAAATTTTGGCTCTTTTTGATTTGGACGATTTGAACGGTCAAAAACCTATCATATTGTGTTGTGCGAATCAAATTATTGCCTCTCCTATTTTTTTTTGAGCCAAAGGTAGTGTAAATCTACGCGTTGATAGATATTGCGCTTCAATCACATGCGGTGTCCTTTAAACTGTGTGGCAAAGAATGCATCGCCAGATTGTTGAGGCCACAGATTTGGTTGGCCTAGGAGATTTTCGACATTCTGAGCACTAAAATGATACTCTACTTAATGACAGAGCCTTGAATCACCCGAAATGTTTCTTTTTGCTTTTTTTGTTATGTTAGGTACCACAGAATGCGCTTTTTTTCGTTTTTTATTATTATTTTGATTGAATAACGGTTTCCCCACTTATTTCTATGTCAAGAGAAACGTCGTGAATTTTCGCGAAGTCATGGGGACTTCGTTTCCAAAAATGCTCCAAACCAACGTGTGCCAAGCCCTGAAGAAATCCTTATATCGCACGATTCTCTCAAGCAATATACAGTACGTCATAGGGTCCTTTGGTTGTAAAGTCCTTTGGCGTGTCTGGGCGGGTGGGTTTTGGAAAAAAAAATCCCCCATGCTTCATACGCTTGAATTTAGTGTATATATTAGGTTGTTGCATAAGTTCTGTCCGATTTGAAATTTCTGACTTGAAAATCTCATAACTTCTTTTAAGGTCAGCTTTTTCCCAAGATTTTAGTTTCCATTTGTTGAGCAATTCCTTTGCTATCAGAAACATACTGAAACCTGCGGAAATCCGTGTTAAGGAAGAAGCAAGAACTTGAAAACTTTACAGCGTTTTTCTTGAAACCTTTCTTATTTGACATGGCAGTGCTCCCTTATGAGAATTGATAGGCATGTTGTCTAACAATGGATAAATAGAGAATTTTTCGCAGATTATTTTGCACCATAAAAGAGCCCATAGGGTCTGCGTTGCCGAGAGATTTTTTGACCAAACAAAAATTTGGCCGCTTTTTGATCTCGCTTCAGCGCATGTGTGCATGCCTATTTACGAATTATGAAAATTTTACAACTGACATGAGCGCCAAAAAGGAATTGATGGATGGTCTCTGCTAGCCCTTGCTTTACGCTAGCACCTCCAACTTCGAAGTCCTAGGTTACTTCTATTCACAGAAAGTTATAGCTTGTAAAACATCTCCTATACAGAAAATTAATGTTTGACAATAAATTTTACTAGCAAGGCGTTTTCTTCATGAGACTGAACTTATGCGTATGCTAACCTATTACACCCTTATTCCCTACCAATTAAAAAGTTTGACCTGAAGGGCGCATTGTGGAGATTTTCTCGCAAGAACATATTTCTAGGGTGAAAACGTACCTCGGCCACTTGGAGATTTTAGGCATGAAATCTCCTTACACTAAGAAATTTATTGAAATTTGATATGTCTTAGAAAGCAAAAGAAAAGCACTTTCTAATAATACTAATAATACCGCATTAGAGATGAATCTCTCTTAGAACAGCAGCCTCAAAAATAAGGCAAAAAAATCGGACTAAATTTATGCAACAACCTAATGTTTACTCCTCTGCGATCGCGCAAAAAATGGTCATTAATCTGCGAACAACCGTCGCAGCGGTAGAATTTGTTCAAAATTGCGGAATTGTCGGGATTCGCGGGATTGTCGGAATAAGCGGAATTTAGCTGTAGCTTTTTTTTGAAACAACTCTATATGAGTTCTGCAAGAAGATTCGGCTTCAACTTGATGAGACGAATCTTTTGATATACGGTACGTCCGTAATTCATGGTGACACGGTAGGCATATGGTGATACTTTGTTATTATCTATGGTAAAGCTCTTGAGAACATTCATCACAATGTAAATCGCGAATATCAGGTTCTGGTACGAAGTTCTCATTATCGAAAACTATCGCGAAAAATTGGGCAGTTTTTATTTACCCTTATCACTGTTATAAGCATTTGATCATTTATCACTGATAATATCACATTTTTGGATCATTTTTGGCAAATGGTAAGAAAAGTACTGCAGGGAACGCTGAGTGAACTTCTATCGCTCTTTCTCTCATTATGTGATTTACAGGCTTTTCTAATTCTATTGCTCGGTGCAATTGGTAGATCCTTCGCTCCAGCAATCAATCGATTGCTCTATCTCTTATAGTATGTGCTCTACAGGCTTTTTCGGTTCAATTGCGTATTCGGTGCAGTAGATAGATCCCTCACTGCAGCAATCGATTTATTGCTCATCATGCGCATGACACCGTCTCCTTGGAGACGTTGCGCTTTCAGAAAAATTCACTCTCTATAAATTGTGAATGAACCGAGTCGCCTGTCAAAAGGAGTTTCAACTATGAGCAACTACTATTCGGTGCAGTAGATAGATCCCTCACTGCAGCAATCGATTTATTGCTCATCATGCGCATGACACCGTCTCCTTGGAGACGTTGCTCTTTCAGAAAAATTCACTCTCTATAAATTGTGAATGAACCGAGTCGCCTGTCAAAAGGAGTTTCAACTATGAGCTAAACACTTCTGTTTTCCGCGTATGGACATACAGATCCAGCTTCATGAAGGCGATCGATTTAAGGTACGAAACGGCGCAAACGGCGATCTCGAGCATCATTCCATCAGAGTGCACACGAACGATGCGCATACATTGGCGGTTGCCTCCGTATCGAAGTTTTTTGAATTCTCCTGTGCTCTACTCTATTTCTTGCTGTCTACAACAGCTCACAAAACGTGCAAATTTTCTTTGTATGTCGTGAAATTCCCGGGGTTTTGCGAAAGTTCGCAACGATCTGGGAGTTTTGCGACATTTCGGGGTTTCCGGGAATCACGAGAATCACGCAAACTACGCAGCGCCATAACTTCCTTAAGAATGAATGTATTCTGAATCCGAAAGAAGCGTTGTGTTTAGCTCATTAAGTCAAATCTTTTGATTTTCTTTTATGTGTGATGTGCGCTGCTTTGCATCATTGCAAAAGGGCGTCCGCAGACAAACTGGAGAAAACCGAAAACGAAGTATCAAGGACATGCTGTAAAATGATGAAATTGGCAAGTGGAGGCAAGTCGGGTACTTGAATGCGCCTGCGGTATCAAAAATCGTTTATAACTCTTCCAGAATGACGTCATAGCAGGCATGAAATGCGGTTTAGAGATCACCGTCCGGGGACGATATACGCGATATACACCGCTTATCGTCACTGCGATCAAGTACTCTTCCCTTGTTAGAGCATGATTAGCAACAAAGAAAACAAAAACATTTTACTTTTGTAAACACCACATGACTTTGTTAATGCTTTCTACCACACTATTCTTAGTTGTTTGGTGGATCAGATGAAGTTAATAAGAGAAGTCTGGGCGCCGTCAAACGTAACTATTTCAAAGGGCTTGCGCTTCGTCCTGATGGCTGAAGGGTAATTCTTTTATTATAAATTTTTCCTACAAAGCTTCTTTCAGCTTCTGTTGAATTTGAAACGTTGTCATTTCAGCCTGTGGCCAAGAGGAGAAGTTCCATACGAAATTTTACCAAAATTCACTGGAGAACGAAGTCTCATTAAGTGGGGAATGCACGCTTTTCGCAAACACACATGCATAAGATTTCGACCGCGAACTCCACGTGATAAGTATTACTTATCAATCTCAAATGATGGTGGAAAAAACGGAAAAGCGAAGTGTCGGAGCAAAGTTGGTCGTCAGACAACGGAGGATTCTCGTTGGCACCAGAGGGCAAGTTCAAAACACCGACGTATTTGCACGCTGATTGCTTAGATAAATCCGCTATACTTCATGAACTAATGCACGCTATCGGCTTTCATCACGAACATCAGAGGTTAATAGGAAACTTTGTTTTGAAGTCTAAATACTGAACTCAAGGAAAACGCTTTCAGAGAGGATCGCAATCCACTTATTGATGTAGCGCGTGACCCAGACCCTTTGTTTGATTATTGGCGTCGTCTCACTTACCCGAGAACCGATGCGTACTACATGGGCAATTACGACCCAGAGTCTATCATGCATTACTCTTTTCCTAATTTCAAAAACTATGAACGGCAGTACTTTTTAAAATCGGACATCAAGAATATCAACAAATTGTACAACTGCTCAGGTAAAATGAAATTTAAAGGTGTCTAGACAACAATGCTTGTATTTACAGTGTAGCATTCCTCTATGAAGTGTTCACTCAAGGAATGGCAACGGTGTTTCTTTCATTACGTAGTAAAATTTCAAAACTATAACCTGTGTAGTATCTGTTAGATATACTGCAATTGATATGTCAATGTTGTAGTCTTCCACGTCATTTCATTTATCAAAATTAGCCCACATTTCAAAAAAAAGGAAACGATTTAACGCATTCAAGGACAACTTTCCAATTTCCCACTAATGATCACTTGATGTCGCTGAACACTAACCTTTCGAGTGTGCCTTCAAGTTGGAGATGTCCAGTCTAAAATTCACAAACACTAAGGACTGCAGTCTATCAAACTGAAAACTCTGAAGAATTCACGAATCAACTGCAAAAGTTTGCTGAATTTTCTTTTTGATCTATACTTTAGTATTGCTTTTGAACACTAGTCAGAAAACAAGTTAGAATTCACTCCACTTCTCTGCCCCCATTTCCGTTAGCAAGAAGAGAGACCATATCATTAAAATTGAGTATTTGCAAGTGGCGGAGGAGTAGCTGTAATAGGTGTATGGCAGTGGCGTACCCAGGATTTCGGCTCGGGGGGGGGGGGGGCGCGACAAAAAATTTTTTCTAAAGAAGGTGCGTGGCGTTAGCCACGCACTCCGAAAAAGTTTTGTGGGTGCTTCCCAAAATTTTTTCGGGTCCCCGACCCCTAAAATCTGTAAAAAGGGGGCGTGGCTGACGCCACGCCCCCGAAAAAAATTTTTTTTACAAGGCTAATTGAATTTTTAAAAATTTTTAAAAATCATTTTAATTATTTACAAAAATAAACAAGTCACCTACACATTTTTATAACCCATATAAGTAACTTTCAAAAATTTCGCGACCCCTCTCGGGGGGGGGGGGGGGGGGGGCGCCCCCCCCCCCCCCCCCCGCCCCCCCCCCTCGGTACGCCACTGGTGTATGGAACACTGTATATGTTTGAACTTGCATGCAGCGCTGACCATGTAACTACCAGAGGAAACATGCACCACTGTAAGAGTACAAAAGAAGTGCGGTCTTTATGAATTTTGCAATGTAAGTATATATCTAACATATATCTGTCTGCATCATCTGACACTGTTGTTTGTCGTTAGATTCAACAAATTTTACCAAGGAAATGATACCTGAGGAGAATCGGAGTGTCAAGACTGATTTTTTTGCCCACTCAGATTTTAGTTTTGAAGCCGAAAATGTTCGTGAAGTTCCTGCTAGCTTGGAAAATAATGCAAGCAAATTTATAAAGTAGCTGTAAGGCTCGCTTTAATAAAAAGATATGTTTGACCAGTACAAAAACTGAGAAAAGATTAAATTAGAACTGCGAACGAACCTATACACAATCTAATAAATAAGGTAGCGTAAGATGTTCTGCAGCATTTTTTGCTCCATTTTTTCCTTAAGATTTTGTATATCTAGCAAGGTGTTTCCATTCTTTTGAAAGGCTTAAGTCCTCTTCCGATCTGCTTCATTTCCTTGTATTGGAAGACATGTAAGGCTTTGCAGAGAGTGGAGTCGTACAAACAAATTCATTTCCAGCTTTTGGCAAAGATGGACCACCGAATACCTGACCACACTGCGAGAACACTACAAGGACAACCACAAAGAACCCAGGTTACACGAGAATGCCCCTCCAAAAAAGGGAGACTTTGTCCTCATACACGACCAATACTTTAAACCGCGGACAGTGGAAAATGGGAGAAGTGATAGGATCCAAGGATGATTATTGAAGATCAGTTGAAATACGCTTGCCTTCAAAAAGAATCATAACACGTCCGAATAACCTCATCCACAAAATGGAACTAGATCCGAAGCAAACAACGAACCTCCGAGAAGAAAACCGATCCGCCTCCCCTCCAACGAAAAGTCGCAATCGAGACACCCAATGATGACCAGGTCAAGAACAAGACTACAGGCAAACAATATCCTTTTATGCCTTAGTCTGCTTTCCTCACTTGCAATTGTGAAACCTCAGACTACACTCGGATTCTACAACACATCTATAGAAGCAAATCATAATCGATGTCCAGAAGATTTTACTGTAGAAAAAACTGTACTGTACGCGACTAATTGCGTTACCAGAGGTATTGCTATCGCAAGGATCAACAACGATGGAAATCTTCTATGTTGGTTTCCTGTTTTGTGTCCGCTAGGCCACATACGATTCCAAGCCAACTCCTCAACATTGTGTGGAAAAGAATGCAAGTGCCCTTCTTGGACATCAACGTGCTCTTTCAGTGATAGCTCTTACACAACGTTGTCGTACCTCGAACAAGTACCATCCTTTTTCCTCCATTACCAACCCGATTAACGTGCGCTCGTTTGAGTCTTCCATTTCATGCGATTCAATCAAACGATTGGGATTATTCAACCTACAGCTCTACGACGACACGCTACTTTTAGTGGAAAACCTAGTGATAGACATACGCGACTACATCGACAAATACGACTTTTTATGTATAGACAAGAAAGGTTGGAAGCGACCAAGCAACAAACTTTGTCACTGGAACATCACAATTTTAGAAAAGACACAAGTGCAGCCCAAGAGCACGTCTATTTTGCGCCTACGACAATCCGTTAGCATTGCTTGTTCTCGATGCTACATCTAACCTAACTATACCGATCAGAGCTTGGGGCTCCATAGCGAAGACGTACTATGGATATTTCACTAAGGCCGTGAACAGCAATAATCATCAAAATGATGCCATCGTTACCTTGAATGCTGATGCTGTGACCACAACTGACATACAACTCGTCACAAATTGCTCCAAAGGAGGACTGGTTTTTGGCCATCAATTCCAAATACGAATTCGTGGAGGTTTGCATAGAACAATACTGTGTGTTCTTTCAGCAAGTACCCACCCACGACATAATATTCCCAAACTCGATCGTCCTGTACGACTACACTGTCACAGTCGCTGTCTGGATCAACTCAAAATCCTACACAAGAAAGGTACACTGCAAGGCACATCCAATATGCGAGATGCTACTATGCTCCTTCTGTCTAGAACGACTCTACAACACACAGTGTTGGACACTGACTGAGATGGCTCTCGCTTTCGCGGGCGCATTACTCATTCTTCTCATATTACCATGGATGCTTCTTATCATAAAGACCGTCGCCTTTTTCCTAGGAATCATACGAAACCTCTTGAAGTGCACTTATTACTGCATGAGAAACGTTTTACCCGTGAGACGCCAATCGGAATTCCAGCCATCACGACACAACTTTCCTAAATACGTCAGCAAACGGCAAACGAATCAAGAAAAAATTGCTGTTTAGCCTTCTCGTTTCGTTGGGTAAAGTTACAGCACACACGTGGATGCTCACAAATCACCTCTATCACCGCTACCGAAAAAGTTTGCGTCGTTTTCAATCAATCCGAAACATGCACCTTTGATGAAGCCACAATCATGACACTCCAGCCTCTATCGCAAGAGACATGTCTTGCACTTAAAGACCATCAAGGCGTTGTGCTAGTAAGACTCTCCGTCAAAATTGACGGCATACGTTTCAAGTGTCACAAAAACATCGAGTTTTTCACTAGAGATCATCAGTTGAAATCAGAGTCAAGCCACAGATGCTACCTGGCTGGCAGTTGCCAGGAAAACACATGCGACAACACTTCACCAAAGGACAAAGTAAAGGAAATCTCGGACACAGCTAATGACATCCAGGGCTACACATATTGCTCATCCAGCTGTGGATGTCTTACTTGCGAAGGTTGTTTCATGTGTCAACCTAGTTGCCTATTTTACCGGATCTATGCTACACCTACGAGCTCTACGATTCACCACGTATTCACTTGTCCTAGTTGGGAGGTAGTCGTAGACGCTGTAGTGGCACTTCGCGAGGACGGTTCTGAGCCTTCATCTACGGTACTGAAACTGTATCCGAGCCAAACTAGCCTTTGGAATCATATGAAGTTCACTCTCACAAGTACCATCAATCCTCACTGCCAATACTTTCATCCAGTTCATCTCAACAGGAGAAGAAGTTGAAGTTTCCATCGTAGAACCCGCGCATAAAGGGCAAATGACACCAAAAAAGTGTAGGCCAATTATCAGTGCCCCTCTAAGAGCCACGCACAGGAATTCAAATGTACCTTTGCCAGCAAAGCATGCACATGCACCAACGGATTACAGAAAGCATCTTGTGTATGCAGTTCAGGAGACATACGCAAACTCATGAAAACTTCCCCACTACCTCAATTATCCAAATCTTATGCAATTTTCAATCGGGATGGAGAAGTATACGCAAAAACTAGCGTTGGATCTGTATTGCAGATCCAAGTTGTTGTGGAAAACACGAAAATTTTTGCACAGCAAACACATACTACTTGCGAAGTAGAAGTCAGTGATCTCATCGGATGCTACAGCTGCATTGCCGGAGCTGAACTGCCCCTATCATGCAAAAGCAAAGGAGGAGATACATTAGCCAACATCTTGTGCTCCACTGAAAATCAGTTGGCAAGATGCACGGTGAATGGATTTCTGAATAAAATAAAGTTTCATTTTAACACCTCCGCAGTCTCAATGAAATGCACCGTCAGCTGCCCCGGAGGAAGAACTGATATATCCGTTTACGGCCATTTGCACTACATCAGTAACAACTTGATCGAAGAAGACTTACACGTGGACAGCGAACAGAGCAAGGTCTCTGAAGACATCTCATACTTGAACACGCTTGGAGACCAAGCCATTGATTTCTTCATGAATTTTATAGTCTATCTTCCTAAGCTCGTAATTCGAAATGTCAAAATAATTCTGCTATGTATTTTATGCTGTTTCTTTTGTATTCTTTTAGTGTTATGTAAAAGAACACTATGTTTTCGCCCTCATCCCAAAGGCCATTAGCTCACCTTCCTCGTGCGGAGTGTAGTGTAGTGTAGTGAATCATCTTTCCTCCTAGCTATACTACTTTTTCCGTAAACGCTACAGAAAATGTTGAAAAACATCCTTCCTCCGAAATTCTTAATTACGCTTCATCACGAAGTACAGCTGAGTCAATCGTAAAATTCCTCTCAAATGAAAAGATGATTAAGCCTTTCCTATAAAGACCACG